GACTGAATAAGCCAATGAAAAGCAATTAAAATGCAGCAGCTGCGCGCGTACACACTTTTCTGTACACATCACACACGTGTACGCAAGGACCTATACGCATGTGGATATATAGGAAGCGAGTGAAACGAGACATTTTCATCGGTACACACAACACACACGTACACAGGATCTAGGTATTAATGAGTGTCAGTGCATGCAGCCGACGACAACGACGCGCCTATGAGTGCACCTCTCTTCTCGCTACACAAGTGTAACGGAAAAGTGTCGTCCTGCGAGCGAGAAAGAGAACAACGCGCAGAGAGCGTAGCGCATTTTCTTTTGCGTATACATTAAGTTCACACACAGAAGAGTTTCCTTCCAGTGCTGTCTAACATTTCTCTCTTTCTCTCCGTAACGAAAGAGCAAAAAACTGCTGAAACAATTTCTTACATTTTGACGCGTTAAGAGTTGAAAAAAGGAGCAACGCAGACACTTGCATTTCGGGCTATCGTTTTCCGATATCCTGCCCGTCCTCGAGTTCAAAATTTTATCAACGACATAGACAAGATATATGCTACAACGCGGAGCCATGGAAAAGAACTACTCTCGGCAATGTTTTTTTTTCCTTTTTTACTCTCTCGCAGATTCCTCCTCGCGCTCGCGATCGAACTATCTATGTATACTTATGTACGGCAGGAGGCGAGAACGTATGGCATTATAAAGACGACTAATACTAGGTAGGATACCTACTATGCGTACAGCGAACAGTCGTACAAGTCACATCTTCGATATTATTATATACCGTATAGCAGCAGAGGAAACGTTCATTATATTACAAGTTAAATAAGAGAGTCTCTTTGCGAAGGAAGCGAGGAATGCCGACCGAGTATCTGTCGTTTTCATATATATATATTATTATATACGTACATATATAGCGCACACACGCACACTTGAACTTGCGCGTGTGTGTGTGCGTATATGCCTCTGCTTAGCACAGCTTTCGCATGTATCGCACAGCACATTTATTTATATATACCTACACGGTCTTTTTCATTCACTCGGCTCACTCTCTCTTTTACTCGGGAGCAGCAGCAGCAGCAGCGGCTGCGGCAAAGGCAGTAGAAGCAGTAGAGATATTGTGTGTGTATGTGTTCAATTTCCACACACGTAATATTTTGCGTATGTGTACATATAAACCCATTTTTATATACATACAACAGCAGGGTGATATGTGTGTGTACATGCCTGAATCGCAGAGACTACTCCCATCCGTGTGTCGCACTCATCCGAATCCGGAGAGGCCGTATACATCGAGTTTTAAGCGATACCCATGTTCTACGATATCTGCATGTATCGGATAATAATTGTGCACTCGAAAAATCCATGCATGTCTCGCGGCGCAAAGCACAACACCGCGAGGGTGGAAAAATTAAAAAATGAAAGATGCACATTACGGTGCATCTGTCGAGCCGAAAAAATCAATACACGTATATAGTTTTTTTTCACACAAAAGAGATGAAAAGAGAATCAAAGATTTGTTTTTCACTTGCTCTTTTTGTCTTGGATTGATTAGATTTACTTGTGATAATTCGAGGAAACAGAGATGCAAAATAATAATTTATATACACTGTCAAACGTTTTTGTAATACACAACGGTAGACAACTCGAGCTTTTGATAACAATCGACGTTTGTTGTAACAATCGATGCGAGGGCGACGTGCCAAGATAATAAGTTGTGAATCGCTGATCTATCTCTCTTATTCTAGGAGATACACAAAGAGAGTCGCAGCAACGGCACCTTCTATTTGGCCAAATAGGCACGACAACGACGATAGGAGCGCAACAACAATATAAAGAAAACAAAAAGACAAGCAGGATAACACGTTCGCAACATGTAGAAAAAAATACTAACCTTGAACGATTATATATTATTACGGATCGGCTCGACGTCGTGAAGTCGATAATAATAATAAAATCCTCGACAGTAAAAAAGCGATTCGACGTATCGGTCATTCTAACCTCTCTTTTTCTCTCTCTCTCTCTCTCTCTCTCTCTCTCTTATATACCCAAAGCTGTGATTTTACCATATATAGCTTCCTTCGACTCGCATATAATATACACACACACACAAATACACACAGCACTAGGCGTTCGCGCAGCGGTGGCGGTGTTTATATTATTTATTTCAATGCATTCGAGAAATTCGTCGATCGAGCGACGGGCACATAATTGAATGACACAACACACACACACACAACGCGCAGTACCGCGAGCTCATCTGACAAGTACAGATAAGGGTATTTTACCATTCGATTATTATCAAAGACGACTCCGAGTTCTGCGATGCGTCGAAGAGAGTCAGCTTGATAGTGTATGTGCGTCTGTGTTCGTGTGTTGTATACACGCTCCGGTAGTGTTGCCAGCCTTGCGCGTGCACTTTACAACCATAATACGAGTCGTCGACTGACGCAGACACATGCGCGCACCGGGCGAACGCGGCGCTCGCAGCAGCAGCAGCAGCGGCGAGCGGCACACATATATATATACGTACTCTCGGTAAAATATACATCAAAGACAGAGGCAAGAGCAGACGCTGGAGGAGCGAGTGAAAGAAAGAAACTTGACGGAGATTACTGATGATGATTTAAAGCTGTGTACGTAAGAATGACTCCGTTCTGTCACGCGTCACTCCGTTGTGTATACTCCTGTTGTTGGTATTTTCATATTGATTTCTACGATGCCAGGCTGTTTGGCTACAGGATCAAACTTCACAAATATTAGATTCAAGTCTGCATATTTTCGATCACGAAACTTCGAGTGGTTTTACGTCGAATCGGAGCGTAGGCCAGATGGTATACGTTCTTTTTAAAACAGCATCTACACGGTGGTAATCGTCAATGTTCCAGTGTAAAACTCAAATGCAGACGACACATTGTAACTTCATTATGTGCGTCCAAAATCTATGTATACAGGACTGTGAGTGAAGTTCGTGATCGCCAACACCCGGCTCGATATCATCTATCAATGAAGTTACGTAGAAGTTCAGAAATTGTCACGCACTCCCCGCGTACGAGTTTACGCACCGGTCTTGATTTTGATCTATCTTCCTTGTTCAGAGAAACCGAATCATTTTACAATCATGGCCGTTGCAGGGAGAGAGTCGCGCGAGATGAAGTAATTTGGATCGATGTTGCAGCTGCCCTCTTTTGTTTCACAGACGTGGGGAGGATGCTGGTAGACTTTAAATGTCTCATCGTTCGAGATTGTGTTTACATTACGTGTTAACTTCGTAATTAAGCGCAATGGCTACGGGTTCGAATACTTCAGTGGGCCTACGTTTTGGAGTAATGACCGCGAGCGAGCTACGCAGTGTCTAATTTTTTCGACCAACTTCAAAGATTACCATTACCGAGAACAAACAATAAACATGTGGCGTTTGGTCCATTTAAAAGCAGGAATCGGATGACGAGAACCATCTTTGTAATAATGATACCGATAATCGCCTAAAATGTAACAAAATATTATAACAATATTTTATGCGATCGGGGGAGTGCTAAATCGTGTTTCTTTTAGCTAAACAATATATTTATTTCCCGCAAAAATACAAGGAGCGTGAAATATCGACAGTACAACGCTTGGAGTATGTCGTAAAAGATAGCCAAAAAATTTGAATTGCGAAATCAACTACTTAATACAATACGCGAGATAATTTTTATGAGCGCGAGAGTATATTATACAGTAGAGTCCCCGTAGACGATCGGCCGCTAGATGGCACGCGTCACCACCGTAACAAGTTCAAAATAAAAATTTAAATCTCCGACGTCACATACACATGATAAATCTGTTGCGCAGGATAGGTAAAAATGTTGACTGATCCAAAAACGACATTGCTCGCACGATATTCCTCAAAAAAAAAGCAGATCGAACGAAAAAAGAAAAAACAAGTTTATTTTATTGACCCGTACGAGCCTCCTCCAAAAATAAAACTCAACTCATTATTCTCTTGTCCACGTGATATCAGTAAGCGGTATCATCGGTATGTCGGTATTTCGAATCATCGAGTGCGGTCCGACAAAAAATTAAATTTGATTTTTGACACGATAGCAATGTGAAGTGTAACGAACTGCTCGTATCTGGTTTTTGCACTCAGCGACGATATGCGGGTATTCGTTAAATAAAAACTACAAAGGACGAAATACCTACTTTTGATACTTAGATGTCACAGCGCATAACGTGTGATTTGTTACTCGAGACGATAAGTAAAGTTACACGAAAAAGTCAGAGACAAACAAACAATTCATCATTCTTGAAAATTATCATTCTGTTTCCGGGTAATTAAATAAAAAATGTCACCAAAATCCATCAACGACAAAGTGGAGGTTCAGGGACAAAAGCTTACAACTATAAAGACCGAAATGGTTTTTCATTGCGGCTGCCTCAAGACTCGATATGTGTTTTTCAAGTCCACGTTGTACCGCGTGTGCGTCTTCTCGTATAACGCTTCAAGTGTACAGTAGCAGTACCTACGTTAAAAAAATCAACGTCACAAACGAGAGAAAGAGAGCGAGAGATATTATGAGCCCACGATCGTTGGAGCGCGTTGTATATTCTATGAATAATTCATTTAAAATCGGTTTGAAATCATCGTGTTTATGTGTGAAGCACATAATATAATATATATAAAGTTGCACGATGAAAAAAGAAAAAAAGAGCAAAATAACGCAATGAAATATACCGAACAATTTTTTTTTTCATGAACTCGCGCACACGCACGACACGCTCGAGCCAGCCTATCCGCGGTAGTACGTATGAATCTTTCTCTCTCTCTCTCTCTCGCGAAATACGCGAAATTCTTCGAGCAATGAGTCGTACGCGAGTGTGAGTACTTCTCAATCTCGCATAGGAAAATGTACGTATCGCTCATACTCGTGGTCGTCATCGTCATTTTCGCTAAACTCTCGGAAATTGCATCGTACCCAAGGCATTGATGAAAAATATTTAAAAAATTGAGCGTGAAATACCTACGCGTGTTCGTGTGCGTGTGATCTCAGGAACGGCTCCTCAACTAATCGCATATGTACCTCGATAGTATTTCTACTGGAGGAACTTTGGTGCTGCTGGTGACTTTTTGATGTATACAAGTATATAGTCTCTCTACAGTTCCCTTCACTCCTTCGATATACAGGATATATCACTCGGCTCTGCGCGAAATTTCGTCGCAAGGAGCGCAAAGATAAGCGCGCTGTATGCACTTGCGGCTAGTTTTTTTTCTTCTTCTATCGATAGCACACGGACCTGTAACGTACAATCTATGATAGATCGCATTCACAGTTGCCAGCACAGTAGCAGTATCGTAGCGCAGCGCACACACACCTGTAGTCTCACCAACGAAATGCACTACTACGGCACACATGCACGTACATCGATGTGATAAACGCACTTGCACGATCGCACTCTTTGTAATACGCGTAGTGCAGTGGTCGCGCACTCGCACACACAACAATGCAACGCGCGACTGACACACGTAGCGACTATATATGCACTTATAACTATAACAGATGAATGAAGAAGCGAATGTGAAAAAAAATGCGAGGAAAAATGCACGTATCAGTGGCAGCAGCAGCTCACTCGGACGATAATAACGAGTAGAGCAGCGTACAGCCGCCACCAGCCATCGCCCCTTTTGAAACACAACTGCTACTTGCTGTATATGCGTGTATTGTACACAGAATCCGCAGACTGTGTAACTATATACCCAGGCAGAACCGTATATTTATATATCCGATGCTGCAGTGCACTTGTGTGTATCATATATATACGTTATGAAGCAGCAGCAGGACGAGCAGCAACGCAAATACACGCACACATATACGCGCACACGCACACAAGAGCACACGGGGATGTGCTGCTCCGTATACGTATGTGTATACTAAAAACTTTCTGCCCAAAGACTTGAAAAATCTCTTTCAGTGAAAGGCGTGTGTGTACATTTATACGTGTATAGACTATATACATATGTGTCGTAAATATATATATATATAAAATGTGGAGGAGCGACAGACAGCGCGAATTGCGGCTGTGCAGCAGCGTGCGCAGCGGCAGCAATACTGAACGCTGTTTTGCCGTCGTGTATAAGCCTCTGGAGTATAACCAGGAGAGTCGTCCGCGCGAACCTACCGTATGGGCATTGGGCATGTCTCAACTCTGTGTGTGTATATACTCATGCCGCCGCCGCTGCCGCGCAATTATATTCCGCACACACACACATATAAATACAGCCCGCAAAAGAGAGGGAAAGGAATGCGCGCGGTTATTATACGCTCGACGCGGCAGTGGCAGCACTCGCCACACCACACTGCACACGAATACACACACATATACTGCTTCTTCGCGCAGACATAGATATAGGTACGCGACTCCGATGTTGAAAATGTATATATCATTGACCCTATGGAAGTGCAGCATCCACGCCCATGGATAAACCATGCATAAATAAATATACTCGTGTATCAAATGTCGGACGAGTTTGACAGGGCGTGTTGCAATTTTCGTTTCTTTGGTTTCGTCGGTTGATCGTTAAATAATGTACAAAAGAATTCCAATAGCTTTTAAACTACTCGTTATATATTAGAAATGTTTTGTTTTTTTTTTTGAATTTACAGATCAGTTAAAATTAATTAAATGCAATCTTAAATTAAATTTCATTGTGTTTTGCGCACTTTCTTATGGGCAATCTAAATTGACGCAACATGGTGCGCAGTTTTATTTTAAATCAACGCAACGTAATGGTACTTTTTGATTTTAAAGTATTTAATACAAGATGTGCATTAATTTTAAAAAAATGTTTAAAATTACTCCTTAGACAAGAAAAGAAAAGAGAAGATAGGAATCTTTCTTATCCCACAGAGAAGATGCATGAGATTTAGACATTTTGGTTCGACGCCAATTAGTTTTTATAAAAACTATCATTCATAAGTGTATTATATTAGAAAACACAACGTTAAAATTTTTCTTATACCTATAAAATTCAATTAATTAGCAATAGCTTCATGTAAGTTTTCGCGATTTATCAAGTATATAACAAAGTAAGAAATTTGTTGATTCCTGTATCAGTGTCAAATTTTTCACAATATCTCTTCATCACTGATGTTCAAAAATACAATTAATCCCGAATTGTTTCTGATACAACTTCTTCTGTAATCATGGGTGTTTCTTCTGTGGTAAGTGGTAATTCGAGTACTCGTGGTCCATAAAGTAGGACATAAGCACAGTGCCAGTCACCACCACCGCTCAGCTTGAGCACATCTTCACTCGTGACAACGCTGATATTTTCATCGTCGCATTTCAACCAAGCATCTTCATTCTGACGAACCCAAGCAACATAATGACCACTGCTGCTTGTCCTTCCTTGATGTGTCAATACAGCTTGTAGTTCATAGTAACCACTGTTGTTAGAGCCCAAGTCTAAGAAAAGAATTTAAAAAATTAATTGAAATTTTTAATAAAAAAATATATTTTATCTAATAATATACTTCAAAGAGTATGTCTTACCCTCAGGAAATGAAAAAGGTTCTTTTTTGGTTTCTTTTTTTTTCTCATCTTTCATCTTCTTTTTGCCCTTCAATTGCACTTCTTGTAATTGAGCTTCTTCCATTTTCCTAAAGCGTTCTCTCATGGGGGTCAGTTTGTTCTGTAGTTCTTTTGAACACAGTTCAAAAGCATCAAAACTTAATGTGAACTTAACATCTTTCAAAATTTTTGCATTTATTGCTTCCTTTTCTTTGTAACAGAATCTCACAAATTGAACAGTCAGATATGCTGGTAATCTACTAATTTTGGACTGAAATAAAATAAATTGAAATTTATGATATAGGTCATGATAATAATCAATTTAAAAAATAAAAAGTTCATTACAGTTTTGGTGTATTGAGCATCTTTTCCTAAAGTTGGGGATAATTTTGTAATTTTTTCAACCATTTTGTTCTTTAAACCTGCAGTCATATGCTTGCACTCTGTAGTAATGAAACAACTCAGTTGTAAAAATTCTTCTTTCCTACACGTAGGAGGTTCTTCATCAGATTCATCACATTTCAATTCAGTATCAAAAGTACCACCGAAATATTGTTCAATGATAGACCTAGGTTTATAACTGGCAGTATCATTAGGAGCTGTTGGATTTTCCTAAAGATATAAATAATATATTATTAATCTTTATTTTTACTGAAAAATGTGTGAAATATTTTTACTAATTACCTTTGCTGGCAATTTTTGTTGTAACATCCTTATTAATTCAGTCCAGCATTCATTGGCATCTTGTTGTTGCCAAAATCCTGTTCCTGTTTTTTCAGCAAATCTAGGAAAAGCTTTATGCAATTCTTGGATAAGAACAACAGGAGCTCTAGATTCTCCTGCATCCATACTTTCGCATAAATATTTCAAAGCATTTGTAATACTTTCGGCTGGATTGTAAGGTGATGCTGAATTGAAGGGTGTAGACTCTTGTCCATTGTTATATCTTTTAAGAGCTTCTGTTAATTCAGGTACTGTTCTCAAACATTGAACAGTTGCATTTAAATAACATGTGTTACCAACATTACGTAAACCAGGTGGTAAATCTAATGCAGTAGATAGTTCTGATTCATTCATGTCTTCTATAAATATTGGTTTTACTGCAGGTTCAGTTGGTACATCTTCTTCTTTTGACCCCATCATAAGAACTGCTATACCCTGTGATTATTTCAAATATAATATGTCAAAGTATTGTTTAATTTAAATTCAGATTAATATACTGAGTAGAGGATAAATTTTAAATGAAATATTTACTTACATCTCTGAACGGTAAGCTGGTCCAATTCTCATCTTTCAAAGTGATGCCTTTGAGCATTACTTTTTGTCTTTCAGGTTGAACTCCGGTTAACGCAAACAGTTGAGCTTTAAAAAGCATCAATTCCTCGTCCGTGTTGACATCGACGTCAGAGAAGACCGTCTTGCCCCATTTGACTTTGACTAAAATTTTCAACAACGAAAAAAATCATAAATAAGACATTTTTAAAAAGTACTCGCAGAGGTTAGAAACGGCCGACAAGCCCTTAAAACACCGCAAAATTAACTTACCCTTAAACTGAGGCATTTTCGTAATCGATAGCTTCGACGATTAACGAGTTTTCAAAAATTTTCGATGACAAAAGTCAAAGTGACAATCCGTTAACGACCAAAATAACTTATAGTAGCAAACTTGCACAGTCACAGTGCAACTGCCACAGCAAGCGAGGATACAAAACGTCGGCACGTCGTCGTAAACGGCATGTAAGCTCGCAGCGCCGGATCATATTATATCATTTACAAACAGCATCGACCGTAGGTAATATTATATAGTTGCGCTGTAATAATAATTAAATTGTTTATTATAATTTAAATCTAAATTTTTTATAGTAAAAAAATTATGTGCATGTTTGCAATATTTATTAGTAAAAAACACGATTAAAAGTTAAAACCGTTCACGTTTACGAGTTCACGTTTGTCTTGGTATTCGAGACAAATTTCAAGTCTATCATAACTAATATAAAAAATACTGAGAAGTATATTTTACTCAATGAATAATCAATGATTTTGTTCATTTTTCAATAATTGAATTTAATACTTCTTGAAAAGAAATACGATGGTCTGATCTTGAAATTTGAAGAGGGTGCGGCGAATTACGCTCAAAAAACTGATTGATTCTATGTAAAATTATTAATGAGCTTTTTTTACTTCAAGTTCTTATTTGAAAATTTTAAATAATAATTTTCTCATAAGGAGATATTAAACAACCATAAATATGCAATTTAATCCACTAGAAACTTGTTACAACGATAACCCGCAGCCCGCTCCGCGTTCGTAGTTCGTACCGCGACCGTCAAAGGCATGCGCCGAAATTTCTATGTCTCTATCTGTTCTGCGCACTCGTGCTCTTTTCTCTGCTTTAGCCGACCCGGACGGGCAGAAAATAACCTCTCTTTTTCTGTATCTGTATGGCTGAACACGTGAACGTGTAGTGTTCCTACAAGTGTTATAAAATAATTATTAGTTACTAAAAATCATTAACTATGAAGTTGAACGTGTCGTACCCCGCTACGGGATGCCAAAAGTTGATCGAAGTCGACGATGAGCATAAACTTCGCGTTTTCTACGAAAAACGCATGGGCATGGAGGTGCCAGCTGACTCTCTTGGAGACGAGTGGAAAGGATACGTCGTGAAAATCGCTGGAGGTAACGACAAGCAGGGTTTCCCCATGAAACAAGGTATCCTTACGAACGGTCGTGTTCGTCTGCTGCTGTCCAAGGGTCACTCTTGCTACAGACCCCGTCGTGACGGAGAGAGGAAGAGGAAGTCCGTCAGAGGTTGCATCGTCGACTCCAACTTGAGCGTCTTGGCTCTCGTCATCGTCAAGAAAGGTGAGAAGGAACTCCCTGGACTTACAGACAACAACATCCCACGTCGCCTGGGACCCAAGAGAGCATCCAAGATCCGCAAGCTCTTCAACCTTACCAAGCAGGATGATGTGAGGCGTTTTGTTGTCAAGCGCCCAGTCCAGAAGGAAGGCAAGAAGGAGAAGTTGAAGGCGCCCAAGATCCAGCGTCTTATTACACCAGTCACCCTGCAAAGGAAAAGACATAGGGTTGCTTTGAAGAAGAGGCGTTGTCTGGCCCGCAAAGAACAAGCTGCTGAATACGCCAAACTTTTGGCCCAGAGACATAAGGAGGCTAAGGCTAAACGCCAAGAAGAACAGAGAAGAAAGCGCAGCGCTTCTATGAGGGACTCAAAATCCTCTGCTCAATCTCACCCAGTCAGCAAGTGAGAGCACTGCTAAAAATGTAATAAACAGAAGTATATTTTGTAACATCAAAGTTATTAAATAAAAAAAAAATATTACAAAATTCCGTGTGTTATGTTTTATTTGTATTTTCTACTCAAAAATGACATGTAAAATTGATAAAGCTTATGAACATTATAATAATCATGCTAAAAAATCTTCATTTATAGTAATTGCAGTACAATATATTCAAAACAATATATGTAGGTACAGTAGCCCTGTTTTATACAGTATTTTATATAATTGGTAAACATATGACAATCATAAAGTTTTTTATTAGATATTGAAAATTTTTGATACTGCAGATAAAAATTATTTTTTTTGATTCATCAATAACTAGACAGTCAAAGTTCATTTTCATTTTATTTTTATTTTCTAATATATAATTATTCTTTTAAGCACTCTCAATCAGTGCTCAAATGCATGTCTCAAACTCTTCATAAAACAAATGTATCTATAAAGTAACCCAAAAGAATCCTATCAATCCTAGCTGGCTTAGTTGAAAATAATAAACTACAAATTGAAAAATTAATTTTTTAAGTATGCATTAGATATTCTGTTATAATCTTCCTTGGATAAGAAAACTTATTCTCAACAAAATTTGATCAATTACAATTGATAATTCGAGTATGACTTTTTATTAAAATTAAATTTTTTACTATTCCAGTAAGTAATAAGTGTATGCGCAACGAATTTCGAAGTTCCGCCATCAGTGCGATCCTTTTGATTCGCGCGAGTTTTGAGAAGCTTCTGCTACCTACGTATGTGTGCGTTGCATATTTGCACGCATACATTATCGGCAGTAGCTCCCAGTTTCCAGGCAGCAGGCTACAGTTGGATATTCCAAATGCGCGTGTACTGATTCAAGTTGGAACGCCGAAGTTGATAACCGGCGCCGTGCTTGGCCCTGCAATCTTCTGTGTCATGAAGTAACAGACCGACCGGCGAAACTTGTGTTATGGTTCCGTTAAAGCCTTCGTTAATGGAATTCATATCATGTACATTTTTGATACCTTATCGTACTTCGTTGTGTAGCAATAATCACAAAAGATTGAAATTTCTGCTGCTGCAATTGTGAATACTCGTAACAACTCAATTAGTCATATTATTGTAATAGAATTGTAAGTTTGTGAAAAAAACGTGTACAATATCACATTGAATATTTTGAAGAGAATTCATAATAAATGTTGTTGTTTTTTGCAGTCAAACCAGAAAAGTGTCTGTTGATTTGGATGTGAAGAATGAAGAAGAACTATTTTTTTATTTTAGTTACTATTTTATTTAGTTTAGTAAAGTTGAATCATGCGATTATTTTAGAAGGTGCTCTAATAGGTGGTTTAGTTTCTTTCGGGGCATACTTTGGTCGGTGTAAATTTTATGAATGCTGTGATGATGAATACATACCTCGCCAAACATTCAGTGAGTTACATTACATTCAGAATTAATTTTTTTAACTAATATCTAAACAATTGATTTTACTTCTAGAACTCAAACAAGACCTGAATGAAAAATTATATGGTCAACAAATTGCTGTAGATCTTGTCTTTAGTGCAATCCACAGCCACGTTCATCATGAAAATCCAAGGAAACCACTTGTGCTTAGTTTTCATGGTTTACCCGGCAGCGGAAAAAATTATGTTGTGACAATGATTGTTAATTCTTTGTTCAAACTTGGAGAAAAAAGTAATTATTACCATTTTTTCAACGGCAGAAGTGATTTTCCATCAGATGAAAATGTATCTTACTACAAGGTATTTGAATTTCTTATTAACAATTCAAATCATTTTTATTATCAATTTTTAAAAAAAATTAATTTTTAGATCTATCTTCAAAATGTTATTCAAGCGGCACTTTCTAAATGTGAGAGATCAGTTTTTGTCTTCGATGAGGTTGATAAAATGCCTCAAGGGCTATTAGATATTTTGGTGCCTTTTATAGATTATACAAGTTATGGTAGTAGGAAGAAAAGTAAATCTATTTTCATATTCTTATCAAACACAGGGAGTCACCAAATTCTAGATAGAATGATAAACATTTGGGAGAGTGGTAGAGATCGAAATAATGCTACTATATTAGATTTTGAATCACTCATTGCAATTGGTGCTTTTAATGAAGACGGAGGCTTGTTCAGAAGTTCTACTATTGAATCAAGATTAATTGACCATTATGTACCTTTTCTACCTTTGGAAAGAAAGCATGTAATTATGTGTATAAAAGATGCGTTTGCACATTTTAGTCTTTATGATCCTTCTGAACAACAAATTCAATCGGTGTTATCACATGTAACTTTTGGACCAAATCCCCATAATTTATATTCTACTTCTGGTTGCAAAAGACTAGATTACAAAGTTGCATCAGTGGTTCATGCAAGTAGAGGAGATTTTGTTTAATATGTTTTACTAATTGCAAGTATCTGTCTTTGAAAGTATAGATGCAGAGGAGAAAAACTTTTGTTTAATTATTATTGTTTTTAAGCCATTGTTTTTCCAAATTATTTTTTCACTATCATGAATTAATTTAAAGATTAGGATGTTTTCAAAAAATTATCAGATCTATTCATGTAATTAAGAAAAATGCCTAAAGTACTTTAAAATTATAACAGATAATTAAACACTCTCTGAAATTGGAGTACCTATTTTTATAAATTATGCTAAGAATAAAACATCATTTGATAAAAATTTTTTAATTAAAAAAATCAAGAACGACTCATTAGTGCATATTTTATTTGAATCAAAATCTATGAGTGCCATAAAAAATATATCCCATAAAAAAAAGATATCAACGATATTTCTTTTCTAATTATTCTGTACTAAAGACCATTACAGTTAAATCATTTGAATATTTTATTTTCTTAATGATTATTTACTAGTTTCAAGGTGACCACAAAGGTTCATCTATTCTTTTTTCAACTGTCTGCGTAGTTCTTTTGATATTTACTATTTTACTTAAAATTTACGTAGAATAATTTGGGTCAAGTCAAGTCAAATAAAAGTCAGTTGGATTTCAAAAGCATCCGAGCCATTATTCATTGGAACACTTCATCGGGGACGATCGTTCCCTCGATAATTGCATAATTTCACGCCATCGAAATTTGAATTACCATAATTAAAGTCGTGAACCGAAGGTAACGAAACTTTGACCAAATCTGAACTGTCCATGCAAATCGACAAGAAATCGAAGACAGTAAAACGCATCTTCTTTTCAAAAAGCGACACATCATTCAACGCGATGCACATATTAAACGTAAGTCATGAACACAAGATGCGCATTATATATTTTAATCATAATATGGCATATTCTCAGCTGCCTTTAATAATGTATAAACGAAAGGAGTGCGTCGCGCTGCAACGTTTTAAGGTGCGCAGGACGTCTGTTGCAGTACCCATACGAGCGATGTTGTATGCATGTATATATGGCTGTGCAGTAGCAGGTTACAGGTACTACACGACGCATATAGCAGAATAGGGCGTGCGGAGAGGGCAGCCCCAACATACATACGTACACAAGGTAGGGGCGTATAGAGCGTAATACACGGCCGCGGTGTGCACAGGTGTTTTCGCTTGAGCGACGGTGGTATGGGTGCACTGCACTCGCGTTCGCTATGGGCACCACCGCCTCGCGCGCGATATGCAGCCAGAGCCAGAGCCAGAGCCAGTCAGCAGCAGCAGTCGTCGGCAGTTCGCCGCCAACAGTCGCGAGTCGCGCGGCTATAGCTCGGTATCCTCGCGACTATATACCATTGTAGGTTCGCGCGCGCCTCAGTCGCTGCTCTGCATTTACTGGGCCCCAACCCGCCTTCGAGACTCGCGCGCGTTCGATCGTTATCCTTGTCGCACGGACTTTTTTACGGCGTGCGTGCGTGTTTCTCGCGACAATTCAAGTTCTTTCGGTCTCGAGAACCTATGTAATACAATACACCGGCAGAATTTCGAAAATACTGCTCCAATTGGAAGCGCAGATAGGTACATGAAGTTTTGCACGGTTCGCCGAGTCCTGTAACGGCCTTGAAGCATCCGTAAGTGTCCGCGCGGCTATTACATAGTTTTTGTTGTTGTTGTTGGGTTGACTACTGTTACACCGCTGTTGTTTGTTTCTATAGTGCGCGAATAAATGATATCGACGTAGAACGTCGTCTCAAAATATTATACGTAATGTATGAATAAAAAAATATATTGCGCGTTGCCGACGACACAAAGTTGTTGCCGTCGCAAGTGTTGTTAGTGTCCTGATCCATAAATCAGTGTGCATCGCGTGCAAAAGGTACGCCACCGAAGATCGACACTCCAAAGCGCACAAATCAGATTATTGTACTTTGTACGTGTATACGCAGAAACGCCAAGACGCAGAAGGAGTCAGTAAAGACGGAATACGTATCGTGCGTGCGTATACATTATAATAAAGTATAATATATACAGAGCGAAGGCGAGGAGGTGAGCCGCGAGCCGAGCCAAGGAGGAGACGCGCGCGCCGGAAATCGTAGGCCGGGGGTATTATGCTAATCAGGAACTGGCGCTCAGAATGCGGGAGGAAGAGCTCGAGATATCACTCAAGGTAAGGCTCTTGCGCGATGCTCCTGTAGCATCTATACAATATACGCGTTACATAAATTAAGGTGCTCCAAAAATTAGCTCGATTCTAAAAGCTGAACGCGACTCGTCATTAATTCGCGCAGTTGACTCCGTTATACCTTATACCTACATGCAACGCAAATCGCTTAGATATTACATTTCATCCTTTTTTTTCTCCCCCTCTATCTATCTATCTCTCTCTCTCTCTCTCTCTCTCTTCACTTTATCATATATGCGCTATATATTCCTCGTGCACACATAGAAGGTGAAATTCATACAGCGCGCACATGCAAAGGCACGTATGTTATAGAGGCGTGCGAAAAAAAAGGGAAAATCATCCTCGCGATGTGCGAGCTGCTCGTGCTCCTATTATATGCGCGGCTCGTCTTCGTCGTCGTCTTCGTCGGCGGCAGCGGGCATCTCGCTCGCTCGCTCGGCGCGATGATTTATTTTTCTGCATACCGAACGTGAAAAGAATCGCGCATTTAGAAAGCAGTGTTGCTGCCGCGAGAGGAGAGGAGTTTCTTTAATTGCGATCGGCCCGTGCATGGCTCGCCGTATTTGTCTATTATATTATACACTTGCATTGTTTATACATATATAGAAAGAGAGAGAGAGAGAGAGAGAGAGAAGAGCTCATAATTATTTCTACCGAAACAATCGTCGATGCATGGATGCACACGCACAAACGTACGCAAACACTCGTATACACGCACTCGTGCGTTGCGTTATAGGTACATATACAACTGTGTATTTAAATCTATGCCGATTTCGAGCGAAAATATCGACGAGCCGCGTAAATAACTTTCGAGTGGTATCGAACACGACCATCGATGGGCGACTATCAGTCGCTCGGAAAATTTTCACGATCGTTCCTGCCTCGTGGAAGGTTTATATGTTAATTAAAAAAGACCAACGCGAGTTAAATGCGTAAGGAATGTAATATTGCACTGATGCTGCTACTGTGCTGTGTGCACATAATTCACATACGTATATGTATAGTAGGTATACGGTACATATATCGTGGCTCGCGATTGAAAGAAGTGCATCAATTCCTATAGGCCGGACGAGTCAGCAAGAAACAAGATATATGCATTATACAAAACTAACATACGTATAACGTGTGCTTACAAACACACACAGACACGAACGCGCTGCCTCGTTGCTACAGAAATTTTATACATATTGTATTATATACGAGATGTCGGTGTACCTTATATATATACGTACACAATCTATACGAGCAAGTGTATGTGTAGATATATTAAGAAAGCAACGTCATCGTCGCCCCCCGTCTTTGTCGTCTTATTTGCCCGTCCCCATCCCCCGCGCGGCCGCGATAAAAGATGGGAAGCTCGCTTCAACTCTGCGCTCGTGCGGAGGCACGAGGCTCGCCATATACATACTCGTATATGTATTACACACGTAACTGTGTGTGTGTGTGTGTGGGTAAGGAAAAGGTTGAGGCCCTTTTGGAGCGGCGCGTCCTTGCGCCGCGTGCACCGCAGCAGCAGTGAGAAAGAGAGACGTCGAGAAGTCTTTGCGCGCTCTACTCCTTTTTCCATCTATACTTTACGCGCGCGTACGCACGTCTCGCGGCATTTTATGTACATAACAACGCGAAACGTCGCGTCTTGGCGTACTTTTATGTATATTGTTTGCGGAATGCGCGCGAGCTTATACGCGACGCTTTACGAGCGACTTTTTTTCTTTGGGCAGTTTTATGAGTGACGGTGGCGATTGCTTTATGATACGATTGGCAATGATTTGTTCAAATTTTGCCGTATCATAAATGCTTTTAATAATCATACTGATTTGCATTGTCCACGCGCGGATTCAGTCCGTTCGTCTGTTCCTACGCATCAATTAAACATTCGCATTTACGTGATTGCAGGCAGGATAAATCCAAAAATAATTCCTACTCTGCTTTCGGCGCTCGTCAATACCCATCCTTTTAACACATTTTTATCGGAGTAGCAAAATCTCCTCCCAAAATCAATGCGTGCGGCTGCCTTTCGTGTTCCTCGACTCGAATAATATTATACATGTAAATACACACGCGTTGTAATACCATACGCGCGCGAATATTTACTATGTCGAGGATATGTTCGTCTGCGTGATATGTATTTTTGACATAGTCCAAGCGGTATACAGTGCATTATTTATACGTATAAGACACGTGTGTATTGTGCTATGCACGCATATGTACGTGAGACCACCACGCAAACGGCGTATACCTACGTTATGAATTCGAGTTTTATCGATTAATTGGCCACGTTGTGTGCATGTGCATATTTGCAGCTGGACTCTGTGCGGAACTGCGCGCGATTCCGTCTGTATAGGTAACCATCGCGGCGTGAGCGGTTGTTTCGTTTTTCAACTTGATTTATGCGGGCCATGATATTGTACAATCTAGCGATGTAAATAACTTATAAATATAGTATATAATAATCTTTATTATTCGACTAAAGTGGAAGGCTCGAAAAATTCGCTCTTGAATGCTGCTCGATCGATTAATTCGACATACGTATTATATGACGATGTAATACACGAATTCTTCCAAGATTTATACTACATTTATAATACACATTACCACTTAATACTTTCGCGGTTCCAAGTCGTAATTCTTGGGCGCGCGCGCGAAATTACTGCGACTTTTTGCTATCAGCAGCAGCAGCGGCAGTGGAGACGTCGTTGCCGCGTTTCCGACATCTCGAGCGACGCACGACGATCCTCGACACGAGCAGTAGAAATCTCAGCGCTGCAACGAGAAGCGCGAGAGCCACCAGAGCCGCGGCCACCAGGAAGCCGTAGACGTCGAGTAGCTGCGCCTGCCACCAGTGCAGCTTAACGGCCGGCGACTGTAGCGCGTGCCTGCCGTGACGGAGCACGTACTCGACCCAGTAGACCACGAGCTTTTGCGGCGACGACGCCTCGTCGGGACGATCCCAAAATTGGTCGCAGAACGCGCGCGTCGCCATTCTGCAAATCAATTTTGTTTGTTTGTTTGTTTTGTTTTTTTTTGTATGCAAAAAGAAAGAGAACGCGCAGCTATTCGGATGGCGTACTTGTATCGGCGATGGTTGCTCAAGATCTCGTGGAAGGCTCGATGATAATCTTGGCGCTGGGCCTGCAGCACGTCCAGCTTCACGGCGACACCTTTGGCCACGAGTATGTCGCAGTTGACGCGCTGCTCGGCGAAGAACGGCACGCACAGCATCGGCGCGTGATGATAGATCGCCTCCTGGCTGCCCAGTCCGCCGCCGTGAGTGACGAAAGCTCGAAGATTTTTGTGCTCTGTGTGATATTCAAGCGTGCATGAGCAATTCAAAAAAGAAATTCTTAAAAATCGAAGCCAAAATCACAAATGGAATTTTTGTCCGATTCCGTCGCGTGCAATGGTCGTTGATAATTGTTCGTTGAGGTCTCAGAAACGTGGAAAATGCAAGAACTATGAAAATGTTGTTGACAGATATTTTTGTTTTGGAGAGGACGGAAAGTCGCTTTTTATCTGAGTCTCCCTTTGGGAACAGAATTATTTTATAATTTCTTATTTTATTGTAATAATGCGTGGTTGATAATATAATGTGTACTATTCACTCGACTTGAAATACCTTATATCATTTATTCAACACTGAAACGGCGAACGAGTGCCTCTTACGCGACAACCTATTCGCAGATACTCGCACGTTCTCGAAACAAGAATTTTTTGGTGATGTTGGAGATGAATCGAATTTTAATCTTCAGCTTGTCGAACAAAATACAAAAATGAAAACACCAAACAAGTTTAACAACAAATATCGACTTGAAAGATACGTGGGAAAGATGCGTAGTAGCAGCAACAGCGCTTGCCATATACAAAAGACATGATCCACAAAGAGTTATCTTAAAACTCACGTTGATACAAAGCATAATGGTGTTACATATTCTTGCGATATTTGCAGTAAGAAATATGCAGCAAAGAGTTATCTGAAGTTGCACATCGATGCAATGCACAATAGTGTCAATTATATATGTGATGTATGCTGGAAAAAATTCTCAAATATGAGTAATCTCAAAACCCACATCAAAACAGTGCATAAAGGTTTCAGACATTCATGCGATATATGCGAAAAAAAATTCACAAAAAAGAGTAGACTCAAGAACCACATCGATGCACTACACTATGGTGTCACATATAAATGTGATATATGCGGAAAGAAATGTTCAACTAAGGGTAATCTCAGAACTCACATCGATGTGAAGCATAAGGGTATCAAATATCCATGCGATATATGTGAAAAAAAATTTTCAACGAATCATTATCTTGAGAGCCACGTCGATGCAGTGCACAAGGGTATCAGACATAAATGTGACTTATGCGAAAAGAAATACTCCGCAAAGAGTCATCTCAAAACTCACATTGATGCGATCCATAATTATGTCAAATATTCATGAGACATATGTGGGAAAAAAACTACAATCAAGAATAATTTCAAAAAACTTATTGATTTGGTTCATAATAAAATCAGAATACAGAACAATCCCAAAGTTCATATTGAATACGATGCATCTCATTTTTGTGATAAACGCAGAAAGAAATATACGGCTAAATCTAGTCTCTAAAAAAACATCGATTCGTCACCTGATGTCATTTCAACTAAATGAAGGTATAAAATTGAATGTACGTGATCAGAAGAATAATTGAAACATTTTCATTTATAATAATATCATGAGTTTTTCCAATATCATCTCATTATTTAAATACGATGTTAAAGTTAAATAAAACACTGTTAATTATAAAGGTAATAAAGAATTAAATTTCTTACATTAATAGCAATTTTATAATACCAGTTTTTAACGCAGTCCGCTTCGCCCTAGATGCACTGCAATTTTTTTCGACTGCAGTTGACGTATAAATGCCATTTTTTCGATTTTCATAATAGATTTATTTCTAGATATATTCAACGTTCCAAAATCAAAAAGAGATTCAGAAACGTGTTT